ATTCGTTTCTACCTTCGTATGCAGACAAAGATTAACAATTGAGGTATTAGCGACATTGAATTTCATATACGATAAAATAAAAAATGGGTGTTCAGAGTTGCATCCGAGTTTTTTATTTCGTTCTGAACTGTTGTCAAACTCAGTTTGTAAAGATACGTGGGTCGCAAGAGAAGTTATTACGAAGTAGAAACGAACACGCATCGGTAATGAGATTTTGAAAGGATATCGGAATGGTATCAATACTGATTTTGGAATGGTTCGTAATTCCCATAGATGGGTATATGTGTTACAACAATAAATAATGTTCAATAACCTTAATGGAATCTTCATAACGTCCACTTATTACTTACGACACCTGCTTGATACTCAGAGATCATTTATCGGACTGTAAACTTATACGCAGAAACGATAAATTCCGATTACAGCTTTTCTCATACGATAATCATTTCGGAGAACATCGTTGCGTAAGTTTTACGATCGCTTCACGATCGTCTTTCCCAAACTATAAGATAGTGAACAAATAAATAAATATTTACGTTTACTACATACGCGTAACTCGGTTCATTATTCGCTTCATGAACGAGCAAGTAGTATTCGTGTTGACCTTTTTTTCACCTATCTACATTACGCAATTTTGTTCATTCCTCCTTCCCCTTCAACATAATTGTCGAAAGTGAAGTTGAGGTTGTTACACTAACATCGTAACTATTAAACAACAATAAGTATATCATAAACTAACAACGTAGTACAATATAAAATAATACAATATAGTATAACACGATCGTAATAATAGAAATAGTAATCAAACGTAATAGTAATAAGTTAATAGTTGCAATAGTAATAGTAGTAGTAATAGAACTAGTAACAATAGCAGCAGCAGCAACAGTGGTAGTCGTTTATAAAAAAATAGCAGTAACAATAGCAGTAGCAGTTGCAATAATAATAGTGATAATCGTTGTGGTTTTCGATGTGTTTTAAATAGTTTTCATTATCGTTGTTATAGTCGAATCTAGTAACGTAGCAATAATAAGAATAATAGTATTAGTACATGTAATAACCATTTTGATGACAAGAATGATATACTAATCAATGATGATGATGCAAGTTAATAAGTGGTTTTATATAGAAGCAGCAGCAGTGGTGGTGGTGGTGGTGGTGGTGGTGGTGGTGGTGGTGGTAGTAGTAGTAGTAGTAGTAGTAGTAGTAGTAGAAGTAGTAGTAGTAGTAGTAGTAGCGTAGTAACGGTTGCAACAATAGCGATGGTTTAGTAGCAAGAGTAATATTAGTAGTAATAGTAGCATGAGGAATAGTAACCACGACAGTAAGAGTATAATATTTATTGTTACTGATATTGTTATTGCAGTTATGAGAATAGTGATGGCGATAGTAATATTAATGATAGTAATAACATTAATGATAAAAATACTGTATATAACGTTGGTTTTGGCGAGAACATAATAATTTGATTTAATTGATTCAATAATTTGATTCCTCGATTTTGTTTCAAATGCTTTACATTAGCCAATTACGAAAATATTTTGACGATCAATTGCAACGTATTATTAAGGTCTATGATCAAATTGTTCTCTTCCGCGTGTTAAAAAAATTAAATGAGTTGGACGAGATTCTTTCGCGATAATTTAGGCAAAGCATTAAGAGTTCTATCTACTTTAATCGTTGGAATCATATATTGGATAAGTAACGTGTATACGATTGCTAGTTCTTTAAGAATTATAATACCAATATAAACGAAAATAAAAAATAATATTCATTGCCATAACGGACACATTCAACGTAAATAATAATGAGTAATTGGATAAAACGCAAATATCGCAAGAACGCAAATATTCTGTCGACTAGATTCGTATATGGATTCATCAGCACGCAACTTTTATCATACCACTTCGTTTTTCTTTCTCTCTCACCCTTACCTTTTCGTATTTTCTCTCTCTCTCTCTCTCTCTCACACGCGCGCGCGCGCACACACCCACACACCCACACACACACACACACACACACTTTCTTTCTCTCTCCGCCTCTCACTCTACATACGTATATATGTATGTAAAGTGTGTGCGTGCGCGCGCGCGCGCGCGAGAGAGAGAGAGAGAGAGAATATATATATCCGTCTGTGTAGGTATCTATCTGTCTCACTTCTATCTTTCTGTGTATGTATATGTGTATGTGTGTGCGCATGCGTGCGTGTTGGCCGTCAGTTTGTTTACTGATTTGGTTACTGATAATATTGTCTTTGTCATTCGATTTGTTATATCATGGAGAGAAAGGAAGAGGTATGATTGCATAACGTGCTTCGAATTCCCAGTTCAGGAGTGTTCCGGTCTTTCGGATTTTACGAAGGTACTCTATCGTGAATGTATGTCGGTAGGTGGTTTCCAAAAATCTGCGTAAAATCGCATTGACCATTTTATGGAAATTCCTTCTCGTAGATTCTCGTTTCTCGTTATTCCTCGTTCGTCTTGGTAGAATCGTTCATCGTTGATGTCGTATAAATGAAACCCTTCGTAATGAAAGCGACTCTGTGTTCTTTCCCTCTTACTTCTTACGGCCTAGGTACTCGACCATCTCGTAAAGCTTTCCCTTCTCGTCTTCAAGCAGCAATGCTTGAATACAGCTTGTAAAGTATTGCGTGCCAAAGCAGTCTTGCCTAGATACGTATAGAAAAAAATAAATTAGATCGCTATTTTATAGTTTATCGGGCAAATCCAACAAGTACATTGGATTTTAAATCGAGAAGGAAAGAGTTAAAAGAAAGAAGAAGAAAAAGAGAGAGAGAGAGAGAGAGAGAGAGAGAGAGAGGGGGGAGGGGGGGGACCTGTTTGTTAGGTTTGAATTGGTTTCGTTTCACATTTTGACGTAGGAAAATGTCTCATCGTTATCATCGTCGGCAAGTTTTGCGGTACATATGTCAACGAATATACCGTGTTTCCGTATTTTTCAATAAATAGGCAAACGCAAAGGAAGAACCGGCAATTTTGGCGCAACAAGCGTTATTAAATAACAGAGAATCGAGTCAGAGACAGGAACCAATTCAATCTTTGCATCTTTCGCCTCGTGAAAAGACTGTGAAAAGATTTACGATCGATGTGACTTTTCTATAAAAAAAAGATTGTAATTACAAGGCGAGGAAAAAGAAAATGCGTTGCTGCTGTTTCCAATAATGGAACCTGCAAAAATATTTGTACGTTGCAAAAATATGTTTCACGATTCTTCTCCTTGCAGTATTTCCATTGGCATCCACTGTATCCATGTTGCCTGAAAAGTGTATGTTAGCGGAAAATAGTTGGCGCAAAATGGTTGGCGCAAAATGGTTGGCGCAAAATGGTTGGCGCAAACTTCTATGGAACACGCGATAATGCGCGACAACGCGCGACAAAAAGTTGTTCGAGTTTTAAAAATGCAAAAAAATGCGTGTTGCTCTGTTGAGAAATATCCAGGGAAAGATAAAAAGTAAAAGAAAAACTAGATATGATCGAATAAAGAATTTGATAAAAATATGTCAGAATTGCAACGATGCGTATTTCTGTAATAATCGCGGTTGCATAGAAACAAGTGATGCGATCGTTTCACTGACGATATGTATCTTCGTTGCCGAATATCGTTTGTTGTCATTAACTAATTGGTCGATACATATACCATTAGAGATACATATACCATCGATGAAAAATCGATTAGTCGTGACTTGCGAGAACAATCGAGAAACTACTATATATATACGGTACATGTACCGTATTATGTCTACTACGATACGTGTACCATGATACGTGCACTGTAATCCGCGTACCGAATACGCGTAGTAACGTATCGAGCAACATGATTTTATTATTGCGAATCTGCTTAGAAATTACCTAAAGACACATGCAGCATACGCGAATGTTGCGTATCATCGTGTGCATCGTGGATCATAAATTCTTGAGACGACGTTCTTGAGTCAAAGGTGAATCGTTTGCATTGATCAGAAAACGAGTAGCTCGTTCGTAAATGACGTTAACTATACGCAATGAGAATTTGTCAACGAGCAACGAAATGAAACGTACAATTAAAAAGAGGAGAGAAAGAAGAGAAAAAGAAGAGAAAAAAGACGAAGCGAAAGAAAAAAGAAGAATTTAAAGAAGTAAAAATTGTGGTAAAATGTGCGTAGAGAATGAAGGAAAAAGTGAAAGAAAGGAAGGAAAAGCGAAGGATAAAGTTACGAAATAATAAAACTGCACGCTGATAAGAAATCATAAACATAAAATATAAAGCTACCTAAACCCCGGGTTCCGCTCCATGAAGTTGCTTGATCCATGTTTGGATCTTCTCTACTTCGTCTTGCAATAGTAACACGTCTAAGCATCCTTTGAAGTAGTCTGACGTAAAGCAGTTTTTCCTAAAAAAAAATTGTAAAACACAGCTATATTTAATCCGTTGAACACGCGATGTATTACGCCGAGATTCATCCTAGATCTGAAAGGAATATCAGGTATGGATTTTAAGATAACCTTCGACGCAAATGAAATATTTTTCGATCGTGGAGTAATAGATTTAACGATTTCACACGCTGCAATGATATTCCTTTTACCTTATGCTCTTTCTAATTTTTCCTCCTCCTTTCCTCGGGTTACACAATTTCTCGGTAATCTCTGTATCCCCCGTATACCGTGAGGTATATTTACCGCAACGTATGCCTTATTTCATCGCGACATGAAATTTATCAGAAATATTGGCGACGACGACGACGACGACGACGACGACGACGACGACGACGACGACGACGATTTTTCGATCCTTGTATCTTGCATCTGAAGAAACGCGGAATATTTAGCGAACAATAGGGAAAAAATGAACAGAATGAAAGATATCCTTTAGCAAAGGTAAACTTTGATTGAACTGAGGAATAGACAAATGTTTACACGTGGAGAACGAAAGCGACACGATGCAACTTGGCATGTGCGCGTCCACTCGTAACACGTACACACGTGTTCTGTGGAAGAAAAGAGGCGGATATTATTTACCGAATTTAAATTTTTTCGCTATTACTTGTCGAATAACTTTCGATTTGGAAAATTCGAAACAGAAAATTTACGCGTTGGAAATGTACGTGTGATTTTACGGTAATACAAACGAAAAGAGCTTGGTCGATGGTTATCCGAATCCATTTAGAAAATCAAGTTACACATCAAGCATCATAGCAAGGATACGATATCGCATAGAGAATTACCTGCATAGTTGATGCAACTGAGGTTCCCGAAATAGGTTATAACAATCCTCGCAGATACGATCCAGCCGGGCAAAGATACTTTTATCGTATATACCCTTACACTGGATATCGATAAAGGACCTTTTACCCAAAGGATGTCCATTCAAGATTCCAGCGTCCGTTAGACCGATACACGACGAGACGAGTAATAACGTGAAAGACCAAGCTAATACAGAGACGAGTCTTGGACAAGGTATCGATAGGGTGGAGACCATCGACGATTCGTTTGGTAACGGGTGTAACCTCGAACATGACGAGGTTTGCTGTACACTCCACGAATACGACGATAAGGTCGATGTTGGCCAGGTGGTTGACGATGGTAAAAAGATGGACGACGATGATAACGGCAATAACGGCGACAGCGACGGTGATGACGACGATGACGGCGTTGAGGCCGACGTAGACGTCGTCGCAGACGACATCGACGTGGTCGATGATAGCAGTGAGGTTGAAATAGCTGACCGAGACATCGAGAGTGGGAACGTTATCGGCGACAACGATGACGATGACGAGGATCGAAGCCTCCGTTGCCGATGCATAGTCTAGAAAAAAAATAAAATAAGCTGATTGAAAGACGATAAAGTAAGTAAATAGGAAAGACGAGAGTAAAAACGAAATGACGGTGAGAAAGGAAGAAAATGGAGGAAAAGGATCATCGATCGTTCGAATCGGAAACATTTTTTTTATTTTCAGACGAAGCCAGGTCGATCGTTTAAGTTTGCATCGGGATAATAAGTTACACGAGAGAATGAAAGTATAGCGAGTAGCGAGAAAGAAAATTCGTTCAGCTTAAATTCGTAATTTCGAGGTAGAAAACTGGATCGACCGATGAATCAGGTTGGCGGCAGGGGAGTGGAAGGGGGGGATGAGAGATCTAGGATAGAACGCGAGTGCGTATGAAATTCATCGATTGTTCGAAACGCGTGTATACGTGGTCAGTCAACGATTACACGATTCGCGCCACTCTAGGCGCATGAACATCCATCCTTGCATGTTCAGTATCTCTGCATTCCCTCTCTCGAGTTCCCTCCCTCAAACTTCTACAGCCTGTTTACTTGCACGCGCGCGATGCGTTGCACGCATCAGCGATCCTCCACTTTTACCACTTTCCCGCGGTGACAGTAAAAGCCAATTCTAACAGCTGCAGCGACAATGACAGCGACAATGACAACGACAATGACGACAACCACGATACCGATGACACCGTCGATGACCTTGACGACGTCAACGACGATCACGTTAACGATTGTTGACAATGATGATGACGATAATGATGACGACGACGATGATGTTGACGATGATATTGATGATGATGTTGACGATGATGTTGCCGATAACGACGACGACGACGACAATGCTAACAGCAACGGCATTGGCAGCAGCAATAACAACGACGGCAACGACAACGACAACGACAACGACAACGACAACGACAACGACAACGACAACGACAACGACAACGACAACGACAACGACAACGACAACGACAACGACAACGACAACGACAACGACAACGACAACGACAACGACAACGACAACGACAACGACAACGACAACGACAACGACAACGACAACGACAACGACAACGACAACGACAACGACAACGACAACGACAACGACAACGACAACGACAACGACAACGACAACGACAACGACAACGACAACGACAACGACAACGACAACGACAACGACAACGACAACGACAACGACAACGACAACGACAACGACAACGACAACGACAACGACAACGACAACGACAACGACAACGACAACGACAACGACAACGACAACGACAACGACAACGACAACGACAACGACAACGACAACGACAACGACAACGACAACGACAACGACAACGACAACGACAACGACAACGACAACGACAACGACAACGACAACGACAACGACAACGACAACGACAACGACAACGACAACGACAACGACAACGACAACGACAACGACAACGACAACGACAACGACAACGACAACGACAACGACAACGACAACGACAACGACAACGACAACGACAACGACAACGACAACGACAACGACAACGACAACGACAACGACAACGACAACGACAACGACAACGACAACGACAACGACAACGACAACGACAACGACAACGACAACGACGACAACGACAACGACAACGACAACGACAACGACGACGACGACGACGACGACAGCGACAGCGACAGCGACAACAACGACAACAACGACATCAACGACAACGACAACGACAACAACGACAACGACAATGTTGACGTGCTCTACTGCAATATACGGCATCTAGAAATACGACGAGCTCAAAGCGGTTCGCGAAGTAAAAGTAAAGATGTAAAGTACTCCTAACCAGTCCTGCGGCAGTCGTGAATGGACCACACGCAGGTAGGCCCCACCTGTAAACGTCCTGAACCGACAACTTCATTAAGCGGAGCTGAAGTGCAGAGCGGCACAGCACGGCACGGTACTGCATAGCAATGTGTAAGATGGTGGGACAGGGGAAAAGGTGGCGGGGAGGTTCGTATGCGCGGCGATGCGGGGCAATGCGAGATTCTCAAACGCACGACGGTTTCTCGTTTGTCCTTTTGCCTTCGTCTCATCGGCGGCACCTGTACACGCTGAGGAGAACGTTTCGCTTGCTTCTCTTTTTTCGGAACATAATCACTGCTCCCGGGTGGGATCTTATTTTTAGCCACGACCGATTCTCGGAACTCTCAAACCGCCCCACTCTATATCGGACCCCCACCTGGTAATTGCCTGCAGCCCGATAATTTGCCTCTAAAGTCGTTCGGTCTCGATCGTTAAAGATCGTCCCATGGATTTTCAGGCCGAGTATGATCGCCGATCATCGATCGCCAACCACCAACCGCCGACCGCCGACCGCCAACCGCCGACCGCCGACCGCCGACCGCCGACCGTCGATTGTCGATTGTCGATTGTCGAGCCGCGATCACTGACCGTCGACTGTTAAACATCACCGATTGATCTCTTCTTACTGCAACCTGCGATACCACTCGATATTCTATTGCTTCCTTAACGTTATCACCAGCCACGATGTTCCCTTAAAACGTCATGTCTCCTTTCGGATCGTAAACAACAATCTATCTGCTATTGTACTTTGTGACCGAGCAACTCTCCATTTATTTTCTATATCGTATTCTTCTATATTCACGGAAGTAATCGAGATTTACGATCGAAAGCAAAGAAAACGAATGTTTCTCCAAGTCTGGATTTTACCCTTATAGTACATCGAAACTAGTTTACTTCGGGGTATCGAATACGAAATGTAATACGAAAGATAAACCATACGTTGTAAGTTTGCCTCGACACACCCGCGAAATTGATGATAGAGGAAAATAATAGAAAAAGAGAAGAGGAGGAAAGGAAAAGAGGAGAAAAACAAAAGGAAGAGGAAAAATTTGATAATAAAAAATCTAAACTACCCAGATTGAAGGGCGAGAAATGGATGGCAAGGTGGGTAAAGAATACGAAGGGTGAAGAGCAGATAGCGGAGAGTAGAGTGGAGAGCAGAGAACGAAGTGAGTGTACGTAAACGAAGAAAAAGTCAATGGAGACCGGTTACTCGACAGGTGAGGTCTTTCCTCGGCCGAGCGATGCACAGGTGTGCAATCTGTAAATCCCCCTTAGCAAAAAACTATACACTCTTCGGCACCGCTTCACGGCTCTGTCGCGCGCTGTTACCCAAGTCACTAGTTATACGTTTGTACACGCGTTCGATACTTATATACGTACACGAGCAAATGCGATTCTTTGATGGACACGCGTGTTTTACGCGCCTATTCGAATAGGGCAGAACGGAAACGTTAGATCGTTGTTAACCGCTTTCGCTTACCAACTCTGTCCGCTGAAAAATTCCAAATCCGGAATGGAAAAAATCGAATGGAATGGAAACTAAGAAAGCCAGAAGTAAAAAAGAGGAAAGGTACTGCGCGATGGTGAATCGAAAGGTGGCATGTTTATCGAAACGAGAGGAGAAAAAATGGACGGTGTTACGTCTCCCTGGTTTGTTTCCTACCACGTTTCCTATACGCCGTAGTACCTGCGAATGTGTGTAAACGTTGAGACGAGGCGACGCACACGGTACCCAAAATAATCGTGTATTCGTGAACACGAAACGAAACGATAATAAACGTAAAATCGATAGTGCAAGTGGGCTGGAAGAGGGCTGGAAGAGGGCTGGAAGAGGGCCGGAAGAGGGCCGGAAGAGGGCCGGAAGAGGGCCGGAAGAGGGCCGGAAGAGGGGTGAAAGAGGGATGAAATGGGGATGAAAGAGAAAGGAAGAGAGGACGGAAGGGGAAAGAGAAAAGATGAAAAAAGTGGGAATAATGGCAGGATAAGTCGAATCGTATGTCGCGTCGTTGAGTCGAATCCAGTCAAGTCGCGAGAGTCCGGTCGTCGATGGAATAAGAGGAAGAAGCCACGAGGTGAAACAGTCTATATCGTTAGATACATCGTTGGCTCTCCGCACCAGGTGGTCCTCTTCCCGTGCCGGATGACTCAATCGTGAGAAGGAGTTGCTCGACGAGCTCACGAGGAGACTCGGTAGAACCGCGTGTGCTTCACGGCTTGCTTCGAGTTTGTCTGGCTGCCTGTCTCCTATCACATTCGTATCCACGTATATACGCGATATCGTCCAGTCTTCTCGACCTCTTTGGCTTTCCTCGTAGGGCGGCTTACGCGATATTTCTATACCTGCGATAGCGGTGTGCGTACACGTACACGTATACGTACACGTGCACGTGCACGTACACGTACATATATACATACATACATGTCGTATGTAGATGACTTTAGTCGAACACGTGGACCTTTCGAATAAGATCCTTTTCTTTTTCTTCGCACACGTTGGGGAGGAAATTATCGAAACGCGTGGATGTTCGAAATAAAGCTAATAGAAACAAAATTAACACTTGTGCGCGCGCGCGTGTGTGTATGTGTGTTTGTGTGTTTGTGTGCGTGATCGGTATAGAGAAAAAGCTGGAACGAAACGTAAATGAAGGGACTGCGAGGTATGTCAGCAAACAACCGGCAAGACAATTATCGGTCATCTCCTAAATAGATACACGAATTTATAGAGTACGTTATTATATTCGCCTATTATTTCGTTATCCGCTTTTCAAATTTATCATTATTTTAGTTACTTTTCTTATACATCGCTACCCACCGTATTTTTTCATCTGCGATTTATTTTTTTCTTCCCAATATTACGAAAATCACGATTTACAAACGCGTACCGTGAATTATCCGGCATACTCGTGCAGAAAAATAAGAAAACGTTCCAATCGGCGATGATGATCTACGAAAGAGATGTAGGCAAAAAATTTGTAGCTCGTAGGTAAGTAACGAACGTGTGTGTAAAGAGAAAGAGGAAGGGAGGGAGGGAGAGAAAGGGAGAGAGAGCGCGCAACGCGCATAAACAAAAGTTGTCGAGAAACTATAAAATAAATAGCAATAAGGAGAAAAGGTATCGAAGAATCTATCGTGTTCGATCAAGTTCGAGAACTTTCTGGTAGAA